GACAGCAATATGGAAGAGAATGAAACTGGATTACTAACTCCATACACAAAAGTAAATTCAAAATGGATCAAAGACCTGAATGTAAGTCATGAAAACATAAAACTCATACAATAAAACAGGCAAAAATATCTTGAATATACAAATGAACAACTTTTTCATGAACATATCTCCTCAGGCAAGAGAAACAAAAGCAAAAATAAACAAATGTCACTAATCAAACTAAAAAGCTTCTGTACAGCAAAGAACAAAATCAGCAGAACAAAAAGATGTCCTACAGTATGGGTGAAAATTTTCATAAATGATGTATGCCATTAAAGGGCTAATATCCAAAACATATAAAGAGCTCATGCTCCTCAACAAATAAAAAGCAAATGATCCAATTAAAAAATGGTCAGAGGAGCTGAACAGACAGCTCTCCAAAGAAGAACTTCAGATGGCCAACAGACACATGAAAAGATGCTCCACATCACTAATCATTAGGGAAACGCAAATTAAAACCACAATGAGATATCACCTCATACCAGTTAGGATGGCCAACATCCAAAAGACAAGGAATAACAAATGCTGGTGAGGATGCAGAGAAAGGGAACCCTCCCACACTGTTGATGGGAATGTAAACTAGTTTAACCATTCTGGAAAGCAGTATGGAGGTTCCTTAAAAGACTACAAATAGAAATATCATTTAATCCAGGAATTCTACTTCTAGGAATTTAGCTGAGGAAAACAAGATTGCAGATTCAAAAAGACCTACACAGGAGGGACTCAAGATGGCAGTGTGAGTAGGGTGGTGGAAATCTCCTCCCCCATATATATTTTTGAAAATACAACAAATACAACTATTCCTAAAAGAGAGACCAGAAGATACAGAACAGCCAGACTACATCTACATCTACAAGAACTCAGCATCTCATGAAAAGGGTAAGATACAAAGCCGTGACCTGGCAGGACCTGAGCACTGCCCCCACCCCAGCTCACCAGTGGGAGGAAAGGAGTCAGAGTGGGGAGGGGGTGGAAGCACAGGACTGCTAAATAACCAGCCCTAGTAATCTACACCGGGATCACAGACACACATTGCATGGTGTACTAGATATTAGAGAAACGGAAAAGTAAAATCCGAAACAGAGACTGTGAGCAGGTCCCCATGGCTGGCTCCCCTGGCACAAAAGAAAAGTGGGAGCTTTATAAAAGTCTTAAATGGACAAGGGCTTAACAACTGGACAAAATTGTCCTGGCACACTCAGCCCAGCACTCTTAAGGAATTTCAGGCACCCTAACCCCCTAGGGGGGTAACACAGTGCCGAAGCCCCTCACTACGATAAGCAGCATGCCATTCATTCCCCCTGGCCGGGGCTGTAAGCAAAACATTGACCGTTCACTGCTGAGAAGCAGCCGGAAAACAGCCCCGCCCACAGCAACCACACAGAGTCTTCTCCCAGCACACAGCTAACCGGGACAGACCAAGAGGCTGCCGCACGTGTGCAACTGCCCGGTTCAGACAGAGGAAGGCAGAGCAAGGTCCGAAAGGCACAAAGGGGCGCCATTCTTGCAGGAGAACTGACCCAGCATATTTGCAGCCCTGGCACTGCACTAGGCTATCTCAAGGGTCACCCCACCCACAGCAGCTCAGGAGATTATTCCATACACTGTTCCCGGTGTGCAGGTAACCGGCAGGGGCAGCTGAAGCCAGAGTAAGGTAAGGAAGTCACGAAGGGGCGCCGTTCTCACAGGAGAACACAGCCAGCATGTCTGCCATGCCCTGCTGGGCCCTAAGCTATTCCGTGGGCCGCCCCGCACACGGCGGCTCAGGAGATTATCCCAGAGACTGCTCCCTGTGTGCAGGTAATCGACACAAGCAGTGGAGAAAGACAAGGCGACCAGCAAGCAGGAAGGGACTTTGTTCTCCCAGCTGACACACATGCCACTAGTCTGCAATCACCTCTACTGCCATGAAAAGGCAGAAGAATCTGACAGTCAAAAATCACTCAGACAACCCCAGCGAGAGGGCCTGCTGAGACAGATATAACCAATCTTCCTGAAAAAGAATTCAAAACAAAAGTCATAACCATGCTAAGGTAACAAATCTTAAAAATTCTCATCATAAGAAAAAAATTTTCTAACTATACGTGGTAATGGTTTTTAAACTTATTATGGTAATAATTTCACAATATATACAAATATTGAATCAACATGTACATTTGAAATATTTCGATTATATCTGTTTTAAAAATTATAAAAGGAGAACTTTAAAATTTAAAATTATGCAGAAATTAAACAACACACACTTTTATAACAAATGTGTCAAAGAAGAAATCATACAAGAAATTGGAAAGTACTTTTGAGATTAAATGAAAAGAAAATCACAACACACTAAAATAACTACTAATAAGATGTAGTTAATGCAGTGCTCAGAAGGACATTTAAAACTAAATGCTTGTATCAGAAGAGAAGACAGATCACAAATCAATAACCTGACCAAAGTTAGAAAAAAGCACAAACTATGTACAAAACAAGGGAAACAAAGAAATGATTATGGTGGAAATAAACAGAGTATAGAAAACCAAAAGAAAAAACTGGTGAAACCAAAAGTGAGTTCTTTGTAAAGATCAATAAATTTAACAAATCTTTGGGTAGCCAAAACCAAAAAAAAAAGTGAGAGAGAAGACTCAAATTACTAAAATCAGGAATGAAAGAGGGATCTAACAATAACAAAAATTAAAAAGATTGTAAGAGAATACTATGAACAAAACTATGTCAACAAATTACATAACTTACATAACATAAGGATTTCAACCTATGAATTGGGGGTGGAGGAGGAAAACAGAAACATTCAAACAATAGCAGGGCATCTATGAGAAACCTACAGCTATCATCATACTTAATGTTGAAATATGAAATGCTTCCCTCTGAGAGTGGGAACAAAATAAAAATGCCCCTCTCACCACTTGCACTCCGCATTGCACTAGATGTTCTAGCTAGGGCAATTAGGCAAAGGAAAAACTTAAAGGCATCCAGTTGGAAAAGAAAAAGTAAAATGGTCTTTATTTATAGATAAAATGATTTTGTATACACAAAATTCCAAGGAACCTACTAAAAACTTCTTGAACTAATATTATAAGATGTAAACAACTTACTACACATAAGGTCAAAACACATAAATCAATCGAATTCCTATACACCAGCAATGAATGGCCTGAAAATAAAATCAAGAGAAAAATTCCATTCACAGAGGTATCAAAAATAAAAAAATACCTGATGAAAAAAAACGAACAAAAAAATGTCCAAGACATATTGAAAACTACCACACTGTTGAAAGAAATTGAAAAGGACCTAAATAAATGGAAAGCTATCTCATGTTCATGAATCAGAAGACTTAATATTGTGAAGATGGCAATGTTCCCCAAATTGATCTACAGATTCAATACCTCCCCCCATCTGAATCCTTGCTGGCCTTTCTGTTAAAATTGACAGCATGATCTAAAATTCATGTGAAAATACAAGGAACGAGAATGATCAAAACAATCTTGAAAAATATCACAAAGTTGGAGACTCATATGTTCCTATTTCAAAACTTACTACAAAGATGCAGTTATCAAAACTAGTACTGGCAAAAGGAATGATATAAAGATCAATGGAAGAGAAATCCAAATCCAGAAATAAAGCCTGTATCACTAGTAAATTGATTTTCAACAAAAGTGCCAAGAAAATGGGTACCAGTTCAATAAATGGTGCTGGGAAAACTACACATTCACAAAGAAAAATATACATTTGGATGCCCATCGCATACCACAACAAGAAATGAACTCAAAATGGCTAACAGACTTAAATCTAAAATTAAGTACTGTAAACTCTTTAAAAAAAAACACAGAGCAAATCATTACGACCTTAAATTGAGCAATAGTTTTATAGACACATAGACAACTAGACAACAGACTATAGGACAACAAAAGCACTGTAACAAAAGAATAATAGGTAAGCAGGACTTCAAAATGAAAAAACTATTGTACTTCAAAGGACACCATCAAGAAAGTGAAAAGCTTAACAGGAGAAAATATTTGTAAATCATATGTCTGACAAGGACTTGTATTTAGGATATGTAAAGAACTCTTGCAACTCAACAACAGAAAGATAAACAAAACAATTTTTAAATGTTCAAAGGATCTAAAAAGACATTTCTCCAAGGAAGATATGCAAATGACCAATAAGTACATGAAAAGACACTCAATGTTATTAGAAAATACAAATCAAAACAACTGTGAGATACCATTTCACACTCACTAGGACATCTGTGGAAGAAGGGTAAAAGGAAGGGAGGGAAAATAAGTGTTTATAAGGAACTGGAGTCATGATATTTTTTTTATTTCCTACAGACAATTCGCTTGAAAGGGAGAATAAGACTAAGTAGCTAATAGAGTACTCTGACATAAATTCAAGAACTCTAATCAGTCTTCCAATTTGTGTAATCTCCTGAAAATTATAATTTTTACTTTGCTACTGTCATTTTTTATTAATTCAATCTTCTTTTTATAAGGAAAATTCAATATCCTTATAAAATAACAACTTTTTAATCACTTACTGATGTCCAACCCTGAAATGCTCTAAATCCCTTCTGAAAGCAATTGCAATTTGAATCTTCAAGACACCAAATTTCAGTATATCTATAATTCATTAACATTATGACTATAGGACAACAGCTACTAAATGGAGCAACTTTTTAATTACAGACCACAAATGATTAATCAAGCAGTGTGATAAGTCTATTTAACTCCTGCTTTATCAGCTAAAGTTTATCAGGATGTTCCAAATGCATGAAAATAAGGAGCTAAGACGATGTAGAATCACAGAAAATTAGAGCCTAGAACTAACCTTAGAGTCCACTGAATTCAATTCTTGTATTTTAAGAGTTGTAGCCAGTGAAACCCCAAGAGCCTAATGAATTGCCTATGGTCACTTTATTTATACATAGTATAAGCCCCATCCTATGACACGCACACATATCTTACCTTTCTGGTGATGTATTAGAAGCGACAGGATGCCCACAGACTCCTTTTTTACTTTTATGATCTAGTGAGAGGACCTTATTTCTTAGGCTTCTTTCCCACTAGGAAAAAAAATGGAATTTTAATAATAAATACAGAAATATGATGATTAAGAGGCACTTAAATTTTCTTTTTATTTAGAAATTCAAAATAAACAACTAAATCATAGTAGTTCACAGAGAAGAAAAAAAAGTGCGATCTATAAAACACTCTTTTGCTAGTGTAGAAATATAAGTCCACCAAAAAATAGAAGGAAAACATTTTAAAATGTAATGGTGACTTTAGTCTGGAAATCAACATTTAGAGATTCCAAAAGCTTGTATGAAAAGTTGTTAATGTGTTGAATTAACAACTGGTTAGCTACGAATTGCTGCATGGAAAATCTTAGAAAAGGCAGACATCTTATTAACAAGATTTAGGTTTAATCTGACCAGAAACAAAAGTTAAAATTGATTTATTTAATATATATACTGTGTTAATCTAGACAAGTAACTTACGTTCTCAATGCTTTAGTTCCTTTATGAAAATGGATGTAATAATAGCTTTCTCACAATAATGTATGGTGATTACATATGTCTAGGGTTAAACACTTGAAGCTGTTATGGAAAACAGCATAAAAAATTAAAAATACAAATGCCATATGATCTAGTAATTTCACTTCTGGGTATTTACCCAAAGAAAACAAAACCTCTGATTCAAAAACATATATGCACCCCTATGTTTACTGCATCATTATTTATAACAGCCAAACTATGAGTGCAACCTAACTGTCTATCAAGAGAGGAATGGATAAGATGTGGTAGATACAAACAATGGAGTATTCGCCATAAAAAAGAATGAAATCTTGCCATTCATGACAACATGAATGGATCTAGAGGGTATTATGCTAAGTAAAATTAGTCAGATACAGAAAGACAAATACCGTATGATTTTACTCATATGTGGAATTGAAAAAACAAAATAAATGAATAAACAACACAAACAAAAGTAAAATGCCCAGAAACAGGATCATAAATACAGAGAACTGGTGGCTACAAGGGGCAGTGGGGGTGGGAGACAAAATAGGTGAAGGGGATCAAAAGATACAAACTCCCAGTTATAAAATACACATCATGGGGATGAAAAGTACAGCATAGGTAATATAGTCAATAATACTGTAAAAGCTTTGGTGACAGATGGTAATTACACTTATGGTGGGCATTTTTTAATGTATGTAACTGTCAAATAGCTATGCTGTTGATGAAACTAATGTAGTATTATGTCAACTATATACCTCAATACAACTTTTTTAAAAAAACACTGTCTTCCACAGAGATATCTGTTTACTTGTGTTCATAGAAGCACTGTTCAAAATAAAATGTGAAAGCAACTCAAGAGTTCAATCAATGAATAAGGGAATAAGCAAAATGTGGTATACACATACAATGAAATATTTTTCAGCTTTAAAAGGAAAGAAAATCTGATATATGCTAAACACAGATGAACCCTGAAGGCTGAAATAGAACAGGAAAAAAAAACATATATATATATATATATATTTTCATATATATATATGTGTGTCTCTGCCTCCAGATCCTGTCACAAAGCTCCTAAAACCTCTGTAATTTTCTGTGTTATAGGACTGTCTTTTGTACTACTGAGGCGAGTTTGCATGGGCTCCTGGATGGGGGCTGGTCACCAGAAAGACCAAGCCAAATTCCCTCTGTAGAGAGGGAAGAGGAGCTGAAGAAAGACTTAAAATTGCTCATGCCTCATGAGGAAGCCCCAGTAAAAATCCCAATAGCATGGGGTTCACAGAGATTTCAGATTGGTGAACCTATCCACATACTGGAGGGTGACATACCCCTAACTCCACAGGTACAGAAACTCCTGCACTCAGGGCTCTCCTGATATACGGCAGAGACAGGACACAGGCATCATGATTAATTTTCCAAAAATAGCTGAGATATAAATACTATATCCCAGATATAGTATTTATATATCATATAAATAACAGGTATAAAAACAGGAGGGATCCCATCTTAAGGCTAAGATTCCATTTTAAAGAAAAAGCAGAATTGAAAAGGAAGATTCCTTATGTATTCTTTGGTAAACGAACAATAACCCACTCTAAAAGCAAGGCAAACAGTCTTAACTGATATATTCCCTGAGGGAAGCCACTATCCTGGAGAAAAACCAGATCAATAGATTTCTTATCTTAAATTAATTTTGCAGAATTTGCTGGAGGACTAATAATGGAGAAGATAAAACATCTCTCATCAAAGTTAAGTATCTTGAGACTTCTTGACAAGTCTACACCCCTACCTTTTGTCACATTCCTGAATCCTTAAAAGACAATCCCCAACCTTTTAGTGTGCATCCTCTCTGAGGTCACCCGCCCTCCACGATCCTTAAGTGTGTATTTTAAAATAAAGCTTTCTCTCTGCTCAACTTATGTGTTTTCTCTCTGTGCTCTTCCACTGGTAAGTGTCTATTTGCTATTTCATTCTATTTCCAAGTCTTCACTCTGCCTCTGCTTTACTTCTGTTAAATAGGGAGGGGCTAATGAGGGTGCTAATTTGGGCTTGAAAGTTCTCGTCATGTGGGTGACCCAGTCAGAACTGCAACTGTGCGATCTGCTGTTCAGTAGCCTGACTTCAAATCTTTCTTTGAGAAGTTCTCAGAACTTAACATCACTCTAACCTGTGCTCTGTGGCTCCCCAAAATCCTTGGGTGGTAGGGGCTAGTCCCCACGACCTGCAGATCAGCAGACCCTGGACTCCAGGTGACCCTGACTCGGCCCTATGCCGAGGAGTTCACTGAGCTATCCCACCTAACCTCTTCACTTTCCTGATCTCAGGTGCCTGCAGAGCAGCTGCCATTCATTTCTACTCTTGCTTTAGTGAATTCCTTCCTTATAAGTACTCTTCCAACCTGCTGGAGAATTGTTTCTCATTGAGAGTCAGGAACCATTCCCCATCCAAGTTAAAGTTTCACCTAATCCACAGGGAGAGACCTCCCACACTGCCTGGCAGCAGTCCAAAACCTCAAACTATGTATCTCTTCATCTAACAGTTTGTCTGCATCCATTATTATATCTTTCAACTAACTGGTAAAAATAAGTAAGTGTTTCCCTGAGCAGTTCTAGAAATGGAGGAAGGGGCCATGGGAAACTCAGATTTACAGTCAATCAGAAGCACAGGTGATAACCTGCACTTGTGACTGGCATGTGAACAGTACAGTGGGACACAGGTAAGATCCCCTTACCCTATGGGATCGACTCTATCTCCACATTGACAATGACAGAATTGTGTTAAATTGTAGGTCACACAGCTGGTATACGCAGAGTATTGCTTGGGGAAGACTGAGGGAGGGAAAGGGGACCCACACACATCTGGTGTCAGAAGAGAGATACAGAAGCGTGAGAGTGAAGAAGAATCAGAAGACTAGTTTTTCCCAACACAATGACATTATGCTAAGTGAAATGAGCTAGTAAAAAAAAACAAACAAACAAATACTGTATGATTTGCTGTACTAAGTACCTAGAGTGTCAAATTCATAGAGACAGAAATTAGACTGGTGGTTCTCAGGGGCTAGGAGAGTAATAAATGGAGAGTTATTGTTAAACAGGTACAGTGTTTCAGTTCTGAGAGATGTAAAGAGATCTAGAAATAGATGGTGATAATGGTTACACAACAATGTGAATGTACTAAATGCCAGTGAATTGTACTCTTAAAATGGTTAAAAGCAGGAATTAAGATGGCAGCATGAGGAGTGAGGCAGAAACCTCCTCTCAAAACCACATATAAAAGAAAGATTAAAGATGGTAGCATGAGAGGTGAGACAGAGGCTTCCTCCTAAAACTGCATATAATATGAAAATATAATTAATACAACTAATCCTGAAAGAAGAACAACAAAGAGGACTGTGCCAGACTGCATACACCTGGAGAAAAGAGCAGATATCATGGAACAGGATAACGTACCAAAGCTGTGGCCCAGCGGGACCCAAGCCATTCTCCCACCCCAGCTGATGGGCGAGAGGAAGAGAAACGGAGCAGGGAGGAAGTGCAGGCCCGGGACTGCTGAAAACCTAACTCCGGAGATCTGCTCTGGGAGCACAAACCTACATTTCATGGTGTTTCATTATGCTCACATGACTACGGGATTGGAAAGCAAAGACAAGGAAAATTTATGGACAGACTGAGATTCCAGCTGCTTGTGGAAAGCAGAGATCCATATCTGGCTGCTCTGGGACAAAAGAAAGGCGGGAAGTCTGAGAGACTTCCTAACAAGGAAGCCCCTAGCAAGAGGTCTGCTAAAGGGGCAAGAATTGCACAGAGCTTACTACTCAGGAGAAAGGAAAGGTAGACAAAATTGTCCAGGTGCACTCTGCCCAGCAGGTTGGGAGTTTTCATGATTTCCAGGTACTCCAGCCCCCTGGCTGGCTACACAGCTCTAAGGACCCTCACCGTGATAGGCAGCCTACTGCACCTTTCTCCCAGCCAGCTGCACCAGCCTCGCAAATGGGTAAACCCAACCCTGGTGTTAGGCCAGCCAGAGAGAAGATCTGTCTACAGCAAGTACAACCAGAAAGCATAAAGGCTTATACCTGTGTGCTTGGACCACTGTTTCAGGCAGTGGAGACATGCATAGCAGCCGGGAAGCAGGAAACAGCTCTTTCATCCACCCAGGCACCAATACCATGCCCCTGCGACCCCCCGACTGAGCAGCTCCAGAAGGTAGAGCTTCTGGACACTAGAGAGCGCCATATACAAATATGAAATGCCAAAGAAACCTGGTTCAGAGTAAAATTAATATAACTACTGAAAAGATGACATGGACCTTGTGACTCTTCCCGAAATGGAGTTCAAATTAAAAATCCTTAACATGTTAATGGAGGTATGGAAAGATGTTCAAGAGCTGAGGAAAGAATTGCATTTGGAGATCCAATCATTGAAGAGCACAATGGAGGGAAGTAAAAGCAGGTTGAATATGGTGGAGGAGAGGATAAATGAAAGAGAAACTAGAGAAGAGGAATACAACGAAGCTGAAGCACAGAGAGAAAAAAGGATCTCTAAGAA